GTTTTCCCTAATCTGGCCTGGCCTCCAAGTTTACTTCCTGGGATTCCCAACACACCTTCTCTGTTCCAGAAAGGCCTATGAGCTATACTTCTGCCCCTGCCTTCCCCAGCCCCATATAGCAAGCTCTTTCCAAATTACACCTTGGGTTATACCAGTGGTTGGCAAACTGCGTCTCACAAGCCACATGCGGCTCTTTGGCCCCTTGAGTGTGGCTCTTCCACAAAATACCGAATTCTGCGCATGGGCCACGAAGTGCATGAAGTTTCAATGGCACTGTACATGCACGCCTGCACGTGGTATTTTGTGGAAGAGCCACACTCAAGGGGCCAAAGAGCCACATGTGGCTCGCGAGCCGCAGTTTGCTGACCACTGGACCATTTTCCCCACCTGGAAGGTGCTGCCTCTGGCCTTGCATGTAGCACCCTTCAGGATCCAGAGTGGTCTCAGCCCTTCCGTGAAGCCATGGTTCCTCGGTCCCTGGCGTGAAGTGAGCCCCAGGGATCAGGACCACGTCTGTTCCTTCGCTGGGTCGCTTAGTACCCAGCAAGGTCTGTGCACATGGCAAGTGTCTGAGGAACACTGAGGATGCATGAATAGAGGCTGAGGGGACAGGAAAAGGGCCGCCTATATTGGGTGGCCTCACTGGGGAAGGTTTCCAGCAGGAGGTGGGTTCTGAGCAAATTTTTGAGCTAAGGGATGGTGACAACCCAAGTGCCTCTGACCCAGGGGTCAGTAAACTTTTTATATAAAAAGCCAGATAGCGAATAGTTTAGGCTTTGCTCTGGCAGCTCGTCAATCTGCCTTAATAGCACCGAAGCAGCCATGGCCCATCCCTGAATGAAGGGGCATGTTCATGTCCCGGTAAGACTTTTTTTTACAAAAGCGGCAATAGGTAGATTTGACCTACACACCGGAGTTTGCTGATCCTACTCCACCTAAAGCAAGTTTAGTTTTGCCAAAGCACAGACCCCTGCAGACTTTCCCAGGGGACAGAGGAGCTCAGATTCCAGCCTTCCCTGCTGTGGGCCACCCTCTCCTTGGGCTCCTCTTGGTTTAACCTGGGCCTACATGCACAGTCTCCTGGCTGAGTTCCCTTAGGCGTCCACTATCCACGTGTCCCCTCTGCATCCACAGGATTAACGGGAACACAGCCCTCCACCGGGACATCTACCCCTCAGTCAGCCTTCAGATCCAGAAGAACTTTGCCAAGAGCAAGTGGAGGGTAAGTGGTCCTCCCGGGAGGCCGCAGGCTGCTCTGGGCCCCTGGAGGCTGGGCTGGGGCAGGGCCAGTGGAGGGCTTTCCTTGAGGGTTCCCAGCAGATACTGGCACTCCCTGGACCCTCTCTGTACTGAGAAGTGGGCATTTTGGTTTCAAGAGGCCACAGGGCAGAGGGAAAGTGAGCCCTGCGGCCCTCCGAGACTGGAGATGGCCAAGGCCGGTCTTGTCTCCTTAGCAAGCCTTCAACGCAGCCACCGTGGTGCACCACATGAGGAAGCTGCACATGAACCTGCACAGTCCCGGCGTCCGCCCCGAGATGGAGAACAGGCCTCCCGCCACGAAAGCCTCAGAAGCTTCGAGACCCAGCTCCCCTGAGATCACCATTATTGAAGCCCCCGCCCTGGACCAGAGCGTGGCCCTCCCGGCCCTGACCCGGCTGCCCTGCCAGCATAGCCTCCGGCCCACAGCTCCTGGTGGCAGGTCCCTCAACTGCCTGATCAACGGCTCCCTCCGCATCAGCAGCAGCCTGGTGCCCATGCAGCACGGGCCCCTGGCGGTGGGGCCCTGTGGCTGCTGCGCCAGCTGCTTGAGTGTCGGGAGCAAAGGGAAGTCTTCCTACTGCTCTGAGCCCTCACTCTTCAAAAAGGCCAACAAAAAGTACGTGTTTTATTTTTCTTTAAATATGGTTTTATTGGTGCTTAGAGAGGAAGGGAGAGGAATAGAGAGATGGAAACATCGATGAGGGAGAAACATCATTGATCGGCTGCCTCCTGCATGCCCCCTACTGGGGATTGAGCCTGCAAACTGGACATGTGCCCTTGCAGGGTATCGAATCGGTGACCTCTTGGTTCCTGGGTCAATGCTCAACCACTGAGCCACACCAGCCAGGCAAAAAGTATGTATTTTCACCCAAAGACAAAGATCTTGCCCTACTCGGCCTGGGTCTGAAAGAACTCAGGCAACGAGCTAAAATAAATTGACGAAAGAATCTCTCCCACTCAAGGCAGCTCCGTAGGGTGGGAAGAGCTCTGGATCAGGGGTCAAGGGAAATGCTGTCCTTCCCACCCACTAGCTGTGTGGCCATTAACAAATCAATGTTTCAGCCTCTATTTTGCTCATCTGTAAAATGGGTTCATTGAATTATATTTACCTGCTCAGCCTGCCTCACAGAGGCACTATAAAAGTCTGGTGAAGCAACAGGAATTATAAATGCCTGCAGAAACCTGGGTGTATGTGATGAATGAGCATTACATTCCTTGAGTTTCTAGGGCCTCGGTGTTTTGGGGGGAGGAAGGGGACTTGCTTGTCATTTGTCTTTTCTGCAAGTGCTTATACTTTCTGAACCGCCGAGAGCAAGCATGTCAAACTCAAAGGCTAACACAGGCCAAATAAAGGAGGCATGCGGGCCGAGAGTTTGAAATGCTTGGCCTAAGGAAGGGCTGAGTGGATGCCACAGGCACTGAAAACTATCTGGGCTCTTCTTCCCGCATCAATGACATCATAGCCTACTGCCCCACTTCCTCTCCAGGAACTTCAAGTCCGAGGTCCTGGTACCCGTCAAAGCCAGCGGCAGCTCCCACTGCCGGGCTGGGCAGACTGGAGTCTGTCACATTATGTGATCCCTGAGTCACTGCAGCTTTCAGGTGAGGGGACTAGAGGCAGGAGGGCTGGGCGGGGAGCCTGGTGGGGGAGCTTCTATCCCAGGAGGAAAGCCCCATCCCAGAGTCTGAATAATGGGGTCTGAGGGGTGCCAGCAGGGCACCCCCACTCCACCCTGCACCCTTTCCTCTGCAGGAGAGATGGCCAACTCTTCTCTGCCCTCCGAACCTGGGTCTACTCCGCAGCAGGAGGCGGGGAGCAAGCGGGCCAAGGTGTGGCAAGAGCAATTTCTGGTCAGCAGCAGCCAACTGCTTCCGCCTGGGGCAGCCCCTCACCGCAGGCCCAGGCATGAGCCTTGGGGCGACAAGGCCTCTGAAGCTGTGGGCAGGAGGAACAGCACCCGCCGGCTTCCAGGCCGCCCTGGCCTGCTGTTCTGTGCCCCGCTCCGCACGTGCCGTGGCTCTGTGCAGTGTGCGTAGGTAGCTCTTGCCCAGGTCTGTGTTGTTGTCTTGAAAAGCTTACCAGGCTGGCCAGGCTGTGTCACCCTCAGAGCAAAGCCATAAGGAGCATCTACCCAGACTCCCCACTCAGCACTCACTCGCTCCTGCCTCTCAGGCCTCCATCCCTGTGGCCAGGATGGGCTCACCAGTGTAGTCGCCTGCCCATCCCATCCGCATGAATGACGGGCAGCTGGGCGGTCTGCCTGTGCGCTCTCCAGGGGATTTCTAACTCCAGGATTGGCTCCTCACTGTGCCGAGACCCCCACCTACCCCAGCCCACTTCTGAGCCACCTCCCTCCCCACCCCAGTCCAAAGGCAATGCCACACCCTCCAAGATGATACAGGAAGAAAACCATGACTAAGTACTGTAAGGAGCAATATCCTGGCCAGATGCCCTCCGCACACACACCCAATTAAGTAAAAACTGGAAGTTGACTGTTTTCATTGCAGCCAGTAAGTCTAACTCTGCCTCTGCTCCCTTCTCTCTCCCTGAGAGTCAGGCGTCCTTATCACTCCCCACTTTTCTTGCCATCCGACCCCCTTTCGGCTTCATGCTCAGTGTTGTGCTCAATAAAATGGACATATTTTTCTCTATGAGGCTTCCTTTGGTTCTTTTTTTTTAAACATATTTTTATTGACTTCAGAGAGGAAGGGAGAGGGAGAGAGATAGAAACATCAATGATGAGAGAAAATCATTGATCTACTGCCGCCTGCATGCCCTCTACTGGGGATGAAGTCCGCAACCCAGGCATGTGCCCTGACCGAGAATCAAACTGTGACCTCCTGGTCCATAGATGGACCCTCAATCACGGAGCCATGCTGGCTGGGCTCCTTGTGTTCTTCTAAAGTCACAAGCAGCTCAGGGACTTGTGAGCATGTGTGGAGAGGAAAGTGCATGGAGAGATTGAGGCCAGGAAGGACCTAGCAAACATGGGCTGGGAGCACACGGTGTGCCAGGCACTTGGCGATGGGAGTTAACATACTGACCCATTGACTTCTTACAAGGACCCCTCGGAGCCCAGGTGGTCCAGCTGCAGCCTCCATGCTCCTAATGGCTGTATGAGAAGAGCATGAAGTTGAGGCCCAGCCCTGCCACATCCATGACCCTGGGGAAGTGATGGAACCCTCCGTGTCACCTTGGTTTCCTCATTTGTCAGATGAGAACAACAGTGCCACCTACATCACAAAATAGTGCAGACCATGTGTCCAGCCCAGTGTCAATAAATAATATGCCTAATAATGACCAAGATATTCCTATAGATAAATGTCTAGCACAGTGCCTGGGCTATGGCAGCACACAAACCCTCAGGCCATTTCCATATCCACGTCACACACACACAGATACGTCCATTACAACTTCTCTTTGAGATCCCAAAACACAGAGGTTCTGGTCATAGTGCTGCTTCTAGAAGCCCTGAGAATTTGGACACCTGCTTCCCTTCTCTGGATTTCTATTCTTCGTCTATAAACGTGAAATCAGGTCACTGTTTAAAGATGAAACGGCTCCTTGGGTCTCTAGAGGATGGAATCTGCCAGGCCCTGGCACAAAGGGGCTGGGTCCCCCTGTGGTTGGGTGATGAGCAAGCTGGAGGAGCAGCGTGGGGCAGCTGACACCTCCTACACCACCAGGCCTGGGGAGGCAGACACACGTGATAAAGCATCACTTTATGGGAGACAGGCTATTTTCCTGCTTTGAACCTCCAGGTTCCTTTCCAACAATTTTATTGGGCTTTTTCACGTGTACATCATTTGGGTTAAGTTTCTGTGTTGGTCCAGGATTCAGCCTCAATGGAGAATGAAGAGCGAGGACACTTCCCAGCCTAGCTCTCTCCATTTGAGAGCCCCTGGCCACAAGGGTATGGCTCATCTCTGCCATTCCTGTCCCTCACATGTGGCTGTCCATCCGCTCAGCCTCAGCGGTGGCCCAGAGTAACATGAGCTGCACACCAGGGGTGGTCCAGGCGGTGCTTTCAGCTGCATAAAAGGAGCTGGAAAGCATTCCAAACCAGTCTGCCCCCCCCCACAAAAAAAGAGGGCAGATGCATGGGGCCTGGCTGGCAGCTGGAGCATCACTTGCAGGTGGCGTAGTAGAGGACCCGCTCATTGATGTGGTCGCGGATCTGCTCCACGTGCTTCTCCAGCCCCGTCAGGTCCGCGGAGCGAAGCATGATGGCCTGGCTCCCCTGCAGCAGCTCCGACTCCATGACTGAGGGCAGATGGAACAGCAAGGGGAGGAGGTGGGGCTGGGGAGACCCCCCAAAGACTCCCAACCCTTCCTTCCCCTCCCACCCGCCTAGAGGCAGCACCTGCAGGAGGAATCACCTCTGGGGAGCGCCATGCCCCTCCAACCCTATCCCACTGTTGGAGAAACAAACATGGCAGAGGCCAGACCCAGGAAGCCCCTGCCCCACTGATCCATGGCCCCTACCCTTCTCCTCTGCTCCAGGCTCCCTCCATTGTCCCAGACTAATGAGGGAGGCCACTGGTGCCAAGATTAGCACCTGCTGCGATTGGACCCAGAGAGCTGCCATCCCACCAATGATCCTCAACGGGGCCCCATGGTGAAGGGCTGGCCGAGTGAGCAGAATTTCTCCCCAGAATGCCACTCCAGATAAATCTAGCCCTCTCCCCGCAGTCCATTCTGCACACCACCGCCAGACTGTGATGGAGGATCTGAAGGACTCCAAAGTGGCCTAGTCCAGCCTGTCTCTCCTGTCACCCTAGGCAGGAGACCCTCTACCACACTCATGAGAGCTGAGACCCGGCGGCAGCTGGACTTTTCCAGGAATAGGGAGGGAGTGCACTGCCTCCCTAGGCTCCAACGTTAGGCACCTCTAGTTGTTTAACAAAAGACTAATCGCCCTAGCTGGTTTGGCTCAGTGGATAGAGCATTGGCCTGCAGACTAAAAGGTCCTGGATTTGATTCTGGTCAAGGGCACATGCCCAGATTGTGGGCGCGATCCCCAGTAGGGGGCGTACAGGAGGCAGCTGATCATCATTGATGTGTCTGTCTCTCTCTGAAGTCAATAAAAATCAATAAAAATTTTTAAAAAGTCTAGTTGTTAAGCCAGAATCTGACCAATTCTTGCTTATACCCCTCGTCCCAGGTCTATCTCCTGGGGGGTATAGGAATATATTTGCTCTGCCTCCCACATTGCAGTCCTTCAAATGTCTGAAGCTCATCTTCTCTAGATTAAACCTCCTTAATTCCTTCATCTATTCCTCATTTGATGTATCATAGAGCCCTTCTCTACCTCCGAACCCTGGTCATTCTCCCCCTGATGTTTGGTTTGTCACTGTCCTTTCTGAAGGTGTAGCAGCCACCACTGCACAGCACCCCCAGGTGAGATCCTATCAGCAGAGTGTGACAAGGCCGTTTCTGGGCCGACCTTCAGCTGGGGAGCACTCATGTGGGCCTATGGGCTGGTAAAATATTGAAATTTTAACAGCTGCTGTCCTATTCCCAGTCCCCCTCCTTGGGGCCCCTATGCATGCTCATCCTATAATCTTGTAATTAAAGGTAAATTCCTGCAAGCAGCTAAACGGCTGTCCCAAGGCTACAACCTGAGCTTTTTCTGACCGGTAAGTCCATGACACACTTACATAGTTTCTAAATATTTTTAATATCATCCCTGAGCCAGTATTTACTTTGGCTGTTTCATATGTACTCGCTCTTTGCCAGTAACCATGCATGGCTGACTTATATCAAGGTTACAGCTATTCAACACTCAAGTCATTTTCAGGTGAGTAACAACTCACACTTGCTTGTCACTTACTGATTAACAGAGTGTTTTCACTACATTAGCCACTGAGAAACCAGGCCTCACCTGCACTGTACTTGTGAGTTTAGGCCCAAATGAGACCAGAGGGGAAGATAACTTTTCTCCTTATTTAATTTCATAGTGTTTCAGCCCATCCTTTTAGATGTCTGAGATTTCCTAAAATACTGGTTCTCTTACCTAGTGTATTAACTACCTACCTGTTGTACACAGATTTGATTAGCATATTCTTTATCTTCCTATGAAACATCAATGGACAAGACCGCGCACCCACTGACTCAACCCCTGGCTCCTCCATCAAGATCAATTCCTCTCACCTCAGCCTAAGATCTGACTGATCACATTGACCCAACAGCCCAACCTTCTCCATAGAATCCACCTGGTTAGCCAGACAGATTTTTGCCTGTTTCTCTGAAATTCAGAGAAACTGTTTGAGGCGTGCGCTGGCACACCAGTGCAGCGACCCCATCACCATCACATCTTACAGACAGAGCCTGGTCTCTGGAAATCCCAGTCCTCCTTTCTGAGACACTCAGAACCCTTTCAGAAGCTCCTTTCATTACGCCTCTGCTGTATTTGAAACCCTTGAAAGGTCCCCTGCAGCCTCCAGGGCTGAGTCTGCCTCCATCCTGGCATGGAGGCCAGGTGCACAGACCCTGCTACTTCTCTCCATCCCACCCTGAGCCTCATCGGCCCTCCTCTCCTGCTGGGTGCTCCTGCCCCATCTTCAGAACATGCCTCATCCTTCCTGCCTACCCTGTCTTGAGATCCCTCCCTTCCTCACAGCCTCTCCCATGTGTATACATCTTTCAGGCCCATGTCTAATCTTATCTTCTCTGAACATCCCTTACTGAACATTTCTCTGACACTGTTTAATCTCTGAATCCCCAGACCTCTTATTATTTGGGATCCTGTCATAGACTCTCTTATGCTATTAAATTCAGTGCCATGCACCTCGTGAATACTAGGAAAAATGGTTACATCTGTATTGTAAGCTTCTTGAAAACAGGCCACACCGTGTGAATATCTCTACATTCCCCACAGCCCCACTGTTGTGGCCCATACTTACTGGAGGCTCAGGAACTTGAGAATGGCCCTGCTCCCTTAGCACCGAGAGCTCCAACAAGACTGAGCCTCAGAAGCCCCGGGGTGGGACCAGCCCTCACCTCTCATCCTGTCCATCATCTTCATGGTTTCCCCAAACAGCTCTTCTGCGTCTGTCTTGACTTTCAGGATGCGGTTGCCCTGCTCCCCCAGAGCAGGGCTCTGACCCAACCGTTCCTTCAGCTCCGCATATTTTCTCTTTATTCTCTCAAATCCCTGAAAAAGGTAGAACAGTCTCTGTCACCATCATCATCATCCGAAGTCCAAAAGACCTTTGGCTAGAGCACGTGATGTCACCCAAATCAACACCAAGGGATACGGCACCACCTAATATCCCCAGTGGATTGGTTTTGCCTATTTTAAAAAAAAAATCTAGGCCATAAATGATCTTAAACTTCTTCTGCATGTCCCTCCCTTCATCTATAGTCCCTGTCATTTCCCACTCACCTCCAGCAAAGTGTCAGGCATATCATTGTCCCTTAGCAGTATTTGACAGCTTGGCCATTGTACCAGGACTAAGTACTAACGTCCCTGGTACACTGACAACATTGAGAATAGCTCTTTGATCTTCTTTCTGGTCTAATACTGGCCAGAGAGAGGGAGCTCTCAGGTTAGGCTAAGTCAAGAGTGTGTCCGGGCTGGGCAGCCATGACAGGGACAAGTTCTGGATTAGAATTTGACAAAGACATTAGAACAGTTTTTAAAGCTGTGTTTCACTTGTTGAATCTCAGAGGGAAGGCAGGGGAGGGTGGGTGGGTGGAAGGTCATCAGCCAAAGACTTTGTATGCATATATGTGGTGAGCCGGCATGGCCATGGCATGCTCAGCCCCAGGGTGCCTAATGTGCCTCGCCAGCTCAGCCAGGTTCGGTGAACCTGAGAGGGGGCGGTGAAGGATTGAGAAAAGACAGACAAGAGAAGAAGCTGGATCTGGGTGGGATGCGCTCCCGGATGGAGAGACAGCACCATGGACTACAAGCTGTGTCTTTATTTCATAGCAGATGCCACGAGGCAAAGTAAGGATGTGATCAAGATGTTTACAACATTCTCATGGGTTTCAATCCTACTCAACTACATGCACCTGAACTCTATCAAGCCCACATCATTCAGGCACGTGGGGACACGTGTGGCCACGTGTTTGGACCATAGGTTCAAGAACCTGTCCAAACACTGTAGCTGCTCTCCACACATATATGCATAACCGATGGACACAGACAGTAGGGGTGCTGAAGGCCTGGGGTGGAGGTGGGGGGCTGGAGGAGGTTAATGGGGGGGGGGGAGGACATATGGAATACTTTCAACAATAAAGAATTAAAAAAAGAAAAGACATCTGCTTTGTAGATGAGCTTTGCTTTGGACAAAATTACCATTTTATCTGCAACAGGAGAAGGATTGGACTAGATCGTGTCCAACATGTCTGAGTCAGCTATGACCAAGGCAGCCAGAAGTAGAATTCAGATGTCTGGCCAGTTTTGGGTGAATCCTGAAGCCCCTTCTGGTTATTCTAGAATAACTGTCATTCTACTTGCTCTTGAGCCCCTCGTCCTACAAAGTGTACAAGTATCTCCTATAAAGGGCCCTCTCCTGCTCGTGAGCCCCCGCCCCCCAAACGCTGTGCTTCCTCAGGCCACTGTGGCCTCTCGGTACCTCCTGGGCACTCAGCGCCTGCTGGCTGGCGCCCTCCGCGAGCTGCTGAGCCTGAGCTGCCTGTGCCCGCTGCTGCCTGGCCTGGAGGCGGAGCTCCTCCATCCGTGCTTGGAAGCCACCCAGCTGCTCCGTCATGCTCGTCACCAGCCTTTCCGCTGGCCCCAGCACCTGCTGGACCTTTGTGGAAAGAGGGAGACCTGGTTCGGTGGTGGGCCTCACAGGCAGTGGTCTTGACCCCTCCTCTCTCCAACGCACCAGGCAGCTACAGCTTTCTCCAACCAGAACATCCCTACCGCCCCCTCCCAATCCCCGGCCTGTCCAGGGCCTCCCGGCCTCCCCCTTCTCCAGCTCAGCGACCCCACTCCTTTCTGCACCTGGCTCCAAGGCCTAAGGCCAGGTTCAAGGCTACAACCCTCCGTCTTCGGGGCCCCGGCTCGGTTCCCATCCAGGTCACTTTCTGGCATCTTCTATGCCTTGTGCCTGAATCTGTTTGCTCATTCCCAAACTGAGGGAAGGAGGTCGTGACACCTCACCTCGGCAACCCTGTCCTGGATGAGCTGAAGGGAGCGGCTGGTGCCCTGCATCGTGTCCTGTGCTTCCTGCAGCGCCACGCTGCCCTGGCGCAGGTTCCCCACCACGTCCTCCACCTGGCCCTCCACTGCGTGTGCCCGGCTCCTGGGGCCGACAGGGCAGAGGGGAGAGAATGGGTGGGCAGGAATGAAGAGGCGAGTGGTTCCACCTACTCACCAATCCAAGAGAATGTTCTTCTCAGCCAAGACAAGGGAGAACTAACTCAGTAGCTTTTCCATGCCAGGCTCCCCACCCAGCAGACATGATGAATGGGAGTTTATGTCAGAGACACCCTGTGGGCACGGTGTCCCATGTGGAAGGCAAGGGTCACCTTGAGTAAAGTTCCATTGAGTCTCACATCACCATCCCCCACCACAGTGAGCACCCGCTCCTGTCTCCCAGCCCCCCTGCACCCCTCTGACTCGGAGAGCTTCTTCTCTCACTTCCAGCAACAGACTTGGGGAGCAGGACGCCAGCCCAGTGCTGGGCAGGGAGGAGGAGTTCAGGCCCAGGGCCCTACCTGGCCTGCTCGGCCTCGGCCTGGAGCCTGCGGGCCCGGGCAATGTCCTGCTTGGTCTGGGACAGCACCAGGTCCACGTTGGGGAGCCTGGCTGCGATGGCCTGGATCTCATTCATCTTCCGCAGGACCGTGGCCGAGTCTGTGGGCAGCCACAGGGCCAGCACCGCCTCGCTGACCTCCTGGATGGTGGCTGCGTCCGTGTCAGGGTCTAAAAGACAGCCGGCGATCAGACTAGGAGAGCCCTGCCGCCTCCCCCAAGGTCAGAGGCCTCTCTGGGCTGAGCGGCACCCGGGCAGGGGGGGGGGCACCACTGTGGCATCTCGCCTGGTGCCCCCAGGCCCTGCTGCCCCCTCTCAGGCACACTCAGAGGCCCATTCTCTGAGGGTTTCCGGGATGTGGGAAGATGACTGTCGGCACAGCTGTGACAACTGAGTGTCTGGTGGCACAGGAAACTGCAGGCTGGGGAGAAGGAGGCGGTGCCAGACAGCTGGTCCTGCACAATGCTGGAGCACAAACATAATCAGCCCTAAATTGGGGAGGGCGGCCAGGAACTGGAACTGCTCCCTTAGCAATACGACCCCTTCCGCGTGCTCCCCCTCAGACCAGAGTGCTCCTTTTGGCAAAGGCCGATGAAAATGATCAGGTCTTTGCTCAAAGGTCACCTTCTCAGAGAGGCCAACCCAGGCCATCCAATCTCAGATCACAACCTCCACCCTACACTGACCCCTCTTACCTTCCTTCTCTGCTTATCTTTCTCTGCTTTATCACCACCCACATGCCAACACGTAGCTCATTTATCTGGTTTTCTGTCTCTTTTCCTACTAGAACCTGAGCTCCATGAGGGCAGGGTCTGTTTCATCCACAGCTCTATCCCCAGCCCCTAGCAGAGTGCCCGGCACGTGGAGACACTCCGCGTTTGCAGAGTGACTGAATGACTGCAACTGCTAGTTGAGCCACCTGGGGCAAGGCAAATGGCCTCTCTCAGCTCAGTTTCCTGATCTGTGAAATGGGAATAACCATCCTCTCAACCTGAAGGGATGAAATGACACAATCAAGTAGCAAGAATTTTACAAACCATCTCTGGATCAGAGATTAAGCTCAGAAGCCCAGAGAGAGCATCTCCTCCGCATCTCTCCCTGTTCCCTTTTTACAGATTGCACTGCTATTGATGCAGGAGTGAAGGGAAGGGGGAGCCCACCTACCCAGAGGGTTTGCCCTGAACTTGAACTCCTCTGGGGCCCTAGGACCCAATCTAAAGGGTCCGGGATAGGCTTCCTAGAGAGTAAGATACCTGGAGAGTTCCTAGAGGATGAGGAGGAATCAGCAGGTAAGGAGAGGTGGGGCAGGGAAGACAATGCAGGGAGAGGAAAAACATTAGCAAAGGCAAGGAGGCGTGTGTGAAATTCTGTTTCTTTGTTATGGGGTGGGGCCACAACATTAGTAACAAAGAAACAGAATTTCCACCCTGACCAGTTTTGCTCAGTGGTTAGAGCGCCGGCCTGCGGACTAAAGGGTCCCAGGTTCAATTCTGGTCAAGGGCATGTAGCTTGGTTTTGGACATATCCTCAGTGGGGGGTGTGCAGG